CCCCAAAACCCCAAAACCCCTACCGTTCTCATAATATAATAAAAATTTCAAATACAAAATAATAAATATTTCATAATATTAAAAACCGAGATATCGATTTAATGGAAACATAAGCCTCTAATTCTGCAATGGAAGATATTAGTATCTCTTTAAATATCAATGCTAAAATAAATAACTAAGGAGGCTGAAAGAATTCCTTAGGTTCCTCAAAGAAAAAGCTTGATTTATTCGGGGGAACGATGTCCTTTTTAAGTGTAATAATTGGAGGAGGTGTTGTCGGACTACCCTACTCATTTTATCATACCGGTATTCCTCTTGGAATATTTTTCAATGTGTTATTCGGGTTAATGACAATATGCTCATCAGTTCTTCTGCTTAAGGCTAAAGATTTGTCGGGAGGGTTAACGTAAGTTTTAATAATGTGCTTTCACTTTTTTCGTAATTTATAGATATTTTCTAGTATTAATCAAACATATAGTACATTTTCAGAGATCGGGTATATTCTACTAGGAAGAAAATCAATCTTTATTATCAACACCATCATATTTTTTAGTGGATTTCAACTAATGATCATCTACTTTATAGTAACAGGTGATATACTGGCTTCATTTGCATCTGAATTCACAGGAACTGAAGAGAATGCAGTCATTTATACTTCAAGAGCTTTCTACGTTTTCATAGTAGGACTCGTACTATCCCCATTCATTTTCAAATCAGCAGTTCATGAACTTAAAATAGCATCTTATCTATTATTCTTTTCTATACTATTCTTTATCTTGATATTTGCAATCGAGATTTCTCTTTATGGTTTGTATGCAAATAGAGACAAAAATTACTATTAATATTTTGACTTTAAATTAGATAGATAATTTTTCACAGCAATATCAGTTTTTATCACTGCTTATGGTTTATAGACGAATTTATATGCAACCGTAAGATCAATGAAAAATTAGTCCACTCTAGAAGGTACTTCAGCTGTAGCATTTGCTATATTTATTTCAATGGGTATTTACGTAACATTGTCAATAATGGGAATATATATGTTTGGCTCCTCGATTAAACATGATTTATTAGATAGCATAGGCAATGAAAAATATACATGGGCTACTATAGTACTTTGTATAACTTTCTTTTGTGTTCTGATTTTCCACATCCCATTTGTTTTTTTCTTTGGAAGAGAAAATTTCCTAATAGTAATTGATGAAATAGATAGAAGGTCGATTTCTAAAAGTCTTGATAGGCAAATCTATAATATCAATATCTATAGTAATGAGACTTTAAATGAGGATGAAAGTGAAGAAATAAAGCCTGCTTAAAATCCAACTTAACTGGCAATAATGAATATGAAGAAAAAGTACTAGTATGGTGGCACAATACTGATATATATCCTAGAAATAATAGGAGCTATGTTTATTAAGGACTTAGGGATAATCTTTTCGATAGGAGCAGCAATATCTGGATCGGCAACTTAATTCATTATACCTGGATACTTCTATGTATTTTCAGATTATAAATTTGGTACATAACTAGGAAGACACAATAGAAAATGCTTGATATTTACAGGATACCTTTTTATGTTAATAGGAATTTTATTTTTCGTATCATTAATGTATGGAACGCTATTGAATATTATAGCAGACTCTGAAGAGGGAGTGGATTGATTACTCATACTGAAAATAACTAAATCAATTTATTATTATCTTAATTTGATTAATTTACATAACTTGCTTTAATGGGGTTTTGGGGTTTTGGGG